AGAAAGTTCTTAGGAAACGTGTAAATTTTATTTACACGATTAAAGTGTTGCTTTTTCAGTTTGAAATTGCGCTCCAAACCCGCTTGGAGGAGGCGGAGAGGAGGTTGGAGGAACTCGAAGGGCGAAATGCCCGAGAAGAATTGGACGAGGAGCCGATGTCTCGGGAATCGGAATTTGATGAAGAGGAGGCAGAGTGGGCTCCTCTGCCTGAAGAGGAGGCCGAGAATTGGCCAAATGGAGCAGAGTGGGCCTCTCTGCCAGACGATGAAGACGAAGAGCTCGAGACATCGGAGGCACCAATGGAGACGAGTGGCGATGAGGAACCAGAAGAAGCCTTTCGTGAACTCGTCCTGTATGTTTTAGCTTTTGTAAAATTATATAGCAAATTAATAATTAGAGCGGATGTTAATTTATTTGTTACATGAAGTAATTTAATAACTTGTACGAAATTTAAACGTGTTTCAGAAGATCGAGGACGATCACGATTCCGGTTCCTGCCACGCAGGGAAGGTTGGTCGCGGCATCACCGGAAGATTTCCGCCCAGCAGATTTGGGGGATCTTCCGGAGCAATTGCGGAACGAGTTGCAGGTGCCGCGGGCAGAGCCATACACGGTGGTTCGAGGAGAAGAAAGCAACGACATCGGTAAGTTATTATTTTAATAACACTGAAATTGATCATATGTTTGTAATCTGATGAAGGAATATTGTGATATTTTTTTGAAAAAATTACATATATAAATGAAATCAAAAAAGTTGTTTTTCGCTCGTAATACACCAAAACGGTTACAAACTTTCTATATCGATGAACATTTTTTAAACAGTTTGTGAAGTAATATTTATTAATAATTTCTATTTTCAGTGTGTGGCATCTGCAACAGGCAGTTCGGAACAATAAAAGGGTGGCGCATTCACGCTTCGAGAATGCACAAGCAGGATGGTAAGCATTTTATACTAAATTTCTAATTGTAAGTTTCATCTGATCTAAAAATTATTTAATTCATTCATTATGTTTATTGCAGGCTTTTGTACCCGCTGCGGGCACTACCTCCTGTTGCCACCGCAGTACACGGCTGCACAGAAAATTGCAGCGTTGGAGCTGCACAATCTCGATTGGTGCCCGAGATCAAGTGCAGCCGTGATGAACGAAAGACAGGTGAAGCGTCGTCGACTTCATCTTGTGGGGAGAGAAGAGGACTTACATCACCTCTTCATTCCAGGTAAGATATTTATTAGTAAAGTTCAAGGAGTAAAATTTGGAAAAAATAAAGAAAAATTGAAATGAAATATTTATAATGTCCATACAATAGCTTTTCTAAT